TTTATTTGAGACTGCCAGCGCTTCGGGGCAGAGACCCTCTCCCTGCGTTCGGTGTACGGGCACAAAGGAACCTCGCCTCAGTTGGGTGCCCCCAGACCTGCCGTAACCCACAGAACAGCTCTGAACTCTCCTCCCCAAAACCGTTCCGGCTCCTGGCGCTTTACCTCCGCTGAGCCTGGGGTGGCTCTCGGGGTGTTAATTACAGCCGGGCATGAAAAAACACGTCCTGGTAAATACACGGCCCCGGTGGAGCATGCACGCACCACCCACGGCTTACCGCGCTGCGACTGTCTCGCTCGGGGGTGGGGAAAAACACCCCCTGAACGCAGCACGTTTCAGCGCTCTACAGGGCACCAGTGCTGGGAACTGCGCCCCTCGCGGAGGTGGGTTTCTTCGAGGGCTGGGAGAGCTCTCTCCCGGCGCTCTGCCGTGACCACACAAGCCACAGCGCTTTAATGTTGCTGGTGCGGACTAGTCCCCAGAAGGAACTGATGAGATGCACCAGACCACCAAAGCGTCAGGAGCGGTGACGCGCAGAGGCACCAGCCATCTTTGACCACAGCCATTTCCGATCTCTACCAAAGCGTTCCACAAACAGCCGCGATTTCAGCCTGGCGAGTGACGCAAACCAAGCCGGGCTTCTCAGGACAGGGGGTGGGAGAGATTCCCAGGGCAGACACAGACTACAGCAGGGGTCGGCAACGTTTGGCACGCGGCTCACCAGGGTAAGCACCCTGGCGGGCCGGGCCAGTTTATTTACCTGCTGACGCGGCAGGTTCGGCCGATCGCGGCCCCCACTGGGCCAGCACATCCCTCACCCGCACCGCTTCTCGCCGCCCCCATTGGCCCGGGACGGCGAACCACGCGCGGCCAGTGGGGGCCGTGATCGGCCAAACCTGCCGCGTCAGCAGGTAAATAAACTGGCCCGGCCCGCCAGGGTGCTTACCCTGGTGAGCCGCATGCCCAACATTGCCGACCCCTGGACTACAGGCTCGAAAAATCCATCCCCTCCCCACTTTGCCCCCCTCCCATGCCCCAGAGCAAGAGTTCAAGACAGGGTATCCACCGCCAAACAGAACCGTTACCCAGACCAACTCCCGGCAAAAAAAAAAAAAGGCAGGCCCACTGTGTAAAGCACAGGAACCAGGACTCCTGGGTTCCACTGGCAGCTCCGGGAGGGGAGCTGGGTCAGAGAGGGGGGACTGGGAGGCAGGACTCCTGGGTTCTATCCTTGGCTCTGAGAGTAGGATCTAGTGGTCAGGGTAGGGGCCTGTGGGAATCAGGACTCCTGGGTTCTAGTCCCAGCTCTGGAAAGGCGGATGTGGATTAGTCATTAAAGCAAGAAAACTCGGAGTGGTGAATGAGGTCTAGTGGTTAGCGCAGCCGCAAGCCCAAGCAGCAGGACTCCTGGGTTCTAGTCCCCACCGGCCCCCTGGAGGCGCGGCCGTGCATTGCGAGGCCCTGCAAAGAGCAAAGCGTCCCAAGAGAGGGCTCCGTTAGTTATTACACACACATTATGCTTTGGCGCTTGAAAAAGCCTTTCCCTCTACACCGCCCAGCTCCCGTTTTCCCACCGCCAAGCCCTCATCCCACGCAATGCGGCTGTTCCCAAAGGCCGTTTCTGCCCAGGGGACCGAAGGGAGATAAATACATTGGGCCCATTCGCTCCTTTTGGAGCAAAACCCCGCACTGAAGTCCAGGGTAGTTTTGCACAGGTCAGGATCCCGGAGGACAGGTCCTCCTTTCACCGGGGAGACGTGGTTAGGTGAGGCCAGAGCGCTCCCCAAAGCGACCCACGATCTCACGCTACGTGCAGCCCACGGATTACAGAGGCAGGCAATGTGACTACAGGGGAGACAGCGACCTGGGGCTCCGGAGAGCCGGGTCTGGCTCTCCTTCCAGCGTACGCCCCTTCGCCTCGCCGTGCCTCCGTTTCCCCGTCTGTAAAATGGGGATAAGGATACCGACCTCTTTTCTAAGGCCTTTTGAGATTCATGGGAGACAAGCAGCAGGTAAGAGCTAGTTAGTGGTAGTAGCAGAAGGGTCAGAATTCTTTCTCCTCTTCATACTCCCTTTGCCCACCCCCCACCAGCCGCACACCCCCTCCTCTGCCATACTGAGGCGCGGCCTTTGCTTGCAAGCTCGAGCACCCAAGGCCAAATCCTTATCAGCGCAGGATGCGTAATAAACCCCCAGCTTCATGCAATGCTTGTGGCACCAGTAACTAGGGGCTTGGCTACCCAGGGAAACAGACGCCTGCCTCTCACTCGTCCCCTGTAGCTACCTTGGTCAGTTTCAGTCCCGCTGAGAGAGGATCCTTGCATTGAAAACACAGCCAGCCCCAATATTCATCGAGGGCCCGATTCTGTGCTGGTTCCCACCCAGCCAATCCCGTTCACCTCACCAGGCCTGCAGAGTGGAAAATACTGGATTTGCAGCTCTGACATCTATTTCCACACCATCCAGTTGGGCTGAATTCTAATCATTCAGAAGGTAGATTTGGGGTTCGCAGTCAGGGACTTGTGGGTTTGATCCCCAGCTCGGTTACTAACCCCCTGGTCAAGCCACTGCCTCTCCCAGTGCCTGAGTGTCCTTCTGTAAAGTATGGGGTGAGAAATCTTCCTTTGTCCATCTTTGCCTAGCTGGCTCTCCAGGGCAGGGAGGGTGTAAAACTAGTATAAATTGGCCCCATTCCCTGGGAGAGCGGAGAGCGGAAAAACACAACACCTCAACCCTCAAAACAGCTCTCGGCCTTTCCTCTGCCCAATGACAACGGGCACTGTTATTTGGGGAGAGGGCTGCACGAGAAGAGCATTGGAAAGTTAGCAGAGAATGGCGTTTTTCAAGCAAAAACTAAAAAGGGCAAAATTAAAACCAATGCATTAAAGTCGGTGGCTCGGGACAGCGTCTCTCTGCTGTTACCACAGCATTTGGCCAATTCTACCCATCCTTTGCAAGTCCAGCAGTGCCTAGGGCCACTTGCTAACGTCCCCAGGGTGCAGATGGGATACAGCAAACAAATGAGAAGTGCCCTGCTTAAAACAGAACAAAACAAGGCAGTCGTCTAGACTAGAAGGTTAGGGATGGACAATCCACTCAGGAAATACTTTCTCTCTCCAGGATCCTTCCCCTGCCGCTGCCAGGATAATCACAGGCCGCAAAATGGAATTTTTGACACTTCAGAATCTGAGCTTGCAAGACCTGAAGTCATGACTCATGCAACATGGAAGGAAATCGATTTTATGGCGCAAACTGACAGGTTTGGCTTTATTTACTCATACCGGCCAAGCTTTTTTACAAGCCTCCCGCTTTTCTATTACAACTTTGATTCCAGACAAAAAATCTTAGCGATTTCAAGAGGTTACCCAAAAAGAAAAAAGGTGGATTTTCCTTTTCCTGGCTGTGATTTTCCAGGAGGCAAGACTTGAGGGGAGGAAGGAGGACACATTTCCCTGGAGAGCTCAGTATTTTTTCTTCTGCTATTCAAGCTACATATGACAGGCACACGCTTCCCCAATTCTAGGCTTCGTCATGCCCAATTTCCATGTCAGCCGAGCAAAGAAACCGACCCCTTCGCCCTGTTAGGGGTTTTTTCAGAGGGTTCTTATATTGTCCCCCCTCTTGCCAAGAAAGTCCTGCTTTTTTCAAATCCAGCACGGTTAAACTCTACCTTGTTGCCTCTGGTATATGCCATGTCACGCTTCAGCAGCGCACTGCAGCCTGTCGCTTGGAGGAGAGGAGGGGAAAAATTGCATTGATTTTGCAGATGCCGTTTGGAATGTAGATTCCTGCACTATTCAATTGCTCTCTGATGATCCACACAGAGATCCATCAGATTTAGCCCAGAGCAACAGAGCTTTTAAATGCATCTTTAGGAGAACCAATTAAATATTGATATCTGACCCCCTTTTTTTTTTTAACTGCATCTAGTTGTGGATTCTACCCTGTGTCCTCACCTCCCTAGAGCGGCTGATCAGGGCCAAAAGGAGTGAGTTACATTTTCCACCACCTGCAAAGAAACCAGACTTGGGATAGAACCAGAAGGCCGATGATGCAAATACCATTGGATCAAGAGAGACAGAGCTCGCTGAAGTCAGTCCGCTCCGCTGCCTGGATTTATAGAAACCAGAGAGGAACCAGCAAAAGCGGTTGTGTAGGAAACACACAGCAACCATTTCTATGAAATAACAGCGCTAGCCACAGATCACCCAGGATCCCAATACCAGCGCAACCAGGAGTTTTTCCAACACATCCCTTTGCCCTCCATATTTTTTTTTTAAAAAGCAGCTACCGCGTCCATGCACATTTTGAAGCATCGTCATGTTTTCTCCAGGCATAAGTTGTTGCACGAGTGCTTTTTTTTTTCTTATTGAAGGGAAAGTACCTACAAAACACAGCCGGGGAGGGGAGGTGTATTTGCAAAGCAAGATGTCCACTCAAGAGGTTATCTTCCTGATTGACCATGCCCAAGAGCCGGACATATGCCATGGAGTCCTGCCAGGAGTTTACCCTGAGTTCAGAAATTAACCAAAAAAGTCAGCCCACAAATAAGGTGCAAGTACAGAACCCCACAGGCGGTAAACGCCATAGACAGGGGGTGGGGGGGAGCCCAATATTTTTGTGCCAGATGAAAATCGCAGCCGGGCTGCGGAATGCCCCTTCTTCCCCCCCCCCCCCCAAGGCGGGGGGGACCCAGGAATGGACCAGACGTATAGGGCTTTGTTTCAAGGGGGGGGGGGAGAATCATGCAAACTGCAAAACAATACAGCGAAATCCCTAAGCCCGACCACAGACCCTTCAGCGTCAGCCTAGAAATACCCCCCCAGACATGCAGGCAGCCCAGGGCACCCGAGGGGGGTGGTTTCTACTGGGTCCTGTGGCAAGCGGATCCCCTGGACGCACCAAGCATCCCCAGGGGGGAAGAAAGGCAGAGGCATGACATAGATTTGGGGAGGGGGGGGTTAAAGGGTGCAAAGAGGGGGAGAGCGGCTTCCACTCACCGTCCAGGGCAGAGATGGGCCCGATCCCGGCCAGGAGGTGCAAATATCCCAACGCGATCAGCAGGGTCGCCGCCAGCACCTCCGCCCGGGGGGCCAGCATGGCTGGGCGAGCCTGGGAGAGCCGGGCTCCCGCTAGACACGGCCGGGCAGGCTCGCAGCCGCTTCACCTCTGCTCCTGCGCTCCGTCTCCCCTTCCTCCACGGGGGGGGGAGCGCTCAGCCCTTGCACCACCATCCAACACAAAGTTAGGGGAAGAGG